TTGGCATCCTATCTATTCATTTCGGCCAAAGCGTGCTATAGCTCAAGCCTGGAGAGCCCCTTCGTTTGCCTTTCAGGGTGTGAAGACCCGGCTGAATGCTATGAATCAGTGAACAGATGTCTGGTATTCTTCAGGATTCTCATCTGAGATTCCTTAAGGTTTGGGAACCTTGGATAAATTATTCCTTGCTGTCCTTGCCTCCTACTAGTTATGGCCTCTTGTAGTCATTGGCTGTGCTGGCCATGGATCCGTAATTCTTCCATTCATACTTTCTACCTGAATCTTTTTTCCCTTCCTTATTTCTTTCTACTTTCCCATACTTTCTTCTTTTCATTAGTTTCTGTTTCTCTCCAATTTTCCCTGAGCTGATACTTCTCGGTAGGGGTTTTTCCTCTTTGTTCTGTTTCGGTATGATGATGGTACGCTGCTGATATTGATTGGTCCTGCTTTTTGCCGGTTCCTTCTTGGTGCCATTGGACATTCCATTGCTTGGCTAATACACCCTGCTGATTTGTATCTGCTTTTTGTATGCTTTTGTTCTGCTCTGCCCCTCCGTGAGTGTATCACGAGCCTGTTGTATTCCAAAAACTTCTTTAATAAAAATACTGAAATAGAAAATAGAACCTTGGTCTTCTTGTAGTTTTAGTAACAAGTTTCACTGTGTTGGTAACTACATTGATGAACTAAGGTAATCAGAGCCCCGCTGTGCGAAAACCATAAGTATGATGGCTGTACCGAAAGGAATGGAAAACTGGGCATAACAATTTTATTTCCTTACAAAGGTAACATTTTGCATGTTGGTAAGAGTTACTCTCCCTCTATAGTAAATCTTTTTCTTTTTTTGTTACAGGTAAATAATGGATTCCAAGAAGAAGCAGCGTGTCGTCATTGAGTTTGTAAAGAAGGAAGGGAGCAGGTTATCTGACATCGATGGTTTCCCGCTGCGTGGTTTGTCTTCATTGTTGGTTTCCCCTTCTTTAATCTTTTTTTTTTTAATCCATCTATGCTCTTGTCGCTGGTGTTTCCGTAAAGATTCTGTAGCCATCTTTGGATGTTGGGCAGCCTGCACCCCTCCTTTATCAAGAACTTAATGACACGTTGCTTCTACTTGGAATCCATTATTTACCTGCAATGAAAAAGAAGAAGACTGTGTATTACTGCTATTTATACATGTGCCTACCACACTTTTGAAAATAGATTATGCAAGGAAATCATAGGTGCATGGAACGTGCAGACCAAAAGTCCACAGAGAGTCTTAATGAATCTAGTAGTAGGAATCCAATGATGGAGAAGGGGATGGAACAGTCTGAATACCGGGGCAAGCTGAGTGAAGCAGACTCTAATGTGGAAGAAACAAAGGAAGAAACACAGCGTCTCTAAGTGTAGACTGTGAGGCAAGTTTAATGGTTAAAAAGTATGTAGGCAACTCACATGTTCATGATAAATTACAGGTTCATCATTAATATAGATGCTTAGTCCGCCTCATCACCAAGGTGGTAAGCCGCTGTGGAATATGGGACAGTAGGATGGTGGGGAGCGGTCAGGATGGAGGAGACCACCGGGATGTACACCGCTATGGTGGCCCCAAGCTTGAGAAAGCTTTACGCTTGAGAAAGGAGTACGCTGGTCTACGTAGGACCTTGGGCATGCTCAGAAACGCATTGCACTTGGATGACGTCACTGCTCTACAGCGGAGTACATCCCGGTGTATGTTTGAACAACGCATCGTTGTCAAAGCCATGCCCATTGAATTTCTGAGTGCAATTAATGATGTATTGAGGTATAAGGGAGGTGTATGATGGGATAGCATATAGCTCCCACAATAATCCTCCACAATGTCTGAACGAGAGAATTCTTAACGTGTATGGAATACTTTACTGAATCTCACTTCTCCTGAATCATATTTGTTTTGGTTGAAAAACAATCAGCAGGAAGGTTGAAAGCTCAGGCAGGCAGATACCACAGCCTACCTTCAGAGGTCTAGTGGAGGGCCATTCCTCGACATGTCAGGGCTGTTTTGGCAGCAAAAGGGGATCTACTCAATATCAGGAGGGTGGTCATATAGTTATGGCTGATCAATATATATATATATATATATATATATATATATATATATATACACACATACATACATATACACACACACTGCAATAGTTGCAAGGGGATCATATCCAACATTTCAAATTCCGCTTTACCAGAGGTGGCCAGACCTCAGTGGGTCCTTATCCTTCTATAAAACCTATACATCATGGCTACCCCCCCCCCCCCCCCCATTATACATATAACCCTTCTTCCTTTTCTTCCTATGTATTGAATGAAAAGCTGCAGCATATATATATAGTTAATCCCCTTCCAAGGGCCCTATTACATAAAGTACTTCCATATACTCTAAATGATTTGATTGAACCCCAACGGGTGGAGTTATTTGTATGGAACTATTGTGTTATATATGCATGATTTTGGTACTTGGAGGACAACAAATACCATCATTTTTATGTTTTTTTTATGTCATTTGTGAATTACGTTTGGGAAGTTCTAAATAAAATGTAAAGAATTTAGAGAAAAAGATGGTTCTTTGATATACTGTAAACAAAGGGATTTTTTAACTAAGATTTTACACCGTTAAAGTCCCTTGTATATACAGTAGTTTTGATTGTATTGGTGTGGTGCCCAGGGGCGGACTGACCATTTGGAAACTCGGGCACTGCCCGAGGTCCCAGGGTCAGTAGGGGGCCCCATGAGATGCCCCTGGTACCTTTTTCATAGGCTTTTTTGAGTTTGGGCAAGGGCACAGGGGCCCCATGATCCCCTATTGCCCGGGGGGCCCCATAAGTTGTCAGTCCGCCCCTGGTGGTGCCTAATAGAATAATAGGAGGGACACAATTTCTATATCTTCTGCAAGATTTTCACCGACATTGTTGATGTTAAGAGATTTCGTTGTCCCCCCACCCTTCCTTACTGACGTGGACCTTAGGTGAAGTCTGGCTCTACAGATTTCTTGGCACACAGTTCTGGAACCACTTTACGAGATTGATTTTAGCAAACACTTCTGATCCACTCCTGAAGAAGTTGATTGACAGTTTAATGAAACGTGTGGAAATGTTGGGGCTCACGGATTATCCTGTTGTGTGTTTTTGATAGATATACGCACAAATAATGGGTGGTGATTATGACCACTGGTTCACGTGTTGGGGGGGTGAGAGCCAGGAGGTATCTCTGTATTAATTGTATGTGATATTTTAAAACGTTTTACACAATAAAATCAAGATTTTATGATAAATGGCTTGCGTATTGATGAGTACCACTTAAAATTCCCTGTCTTAAAAATATATAGTCTTTTGCAATGATGTGTCATATGGGGGTGTAAGTAGCAGTAGTACAAATGTAAGATTTGGCCTATATGTCCGTTATGGAGGATTAACTTCAGCCCCCTCGTTAGTGACTCTGCTTCCCCACAGGCGCCACCATTATGGTACGTGCGCTGATGTCCTGAGGGGCTCTTCCTGGCCTTTGGGTCCTGGCAGAGCCCTTCTTCACATCTGCACAGAAGATTTCCAGTGCAAGCCGGCAGGTGGCAAAGGGTTAGGACTTCCAGATTAGCCAACTTTGCGCATGTGCCGGGGGAACCCTCACATACACAGAGATTCTGCAGGGCTTATTCTCATTTAGAATCATTCACAACTTGATCTCTTAAATCTAAAAAACAATCTGAAAAAAAAAAAAAAAAAAAATATATCCAGTTCGGAGGGATTGAAGGGCAAGAGGCAGGGCATTTAAAACTAAACCCACAACAGTAAAATCAGTCTGTAATAGCAGTGGGGTGAGGGGTTAATCCTCCACATTGTGCAAAAGGCTGTTTGATCCTGTCTTCTCTGATCCTCCCCTTCCTCCACAGTCCCCAATCCATCTGCTGTTAGAACAGAGCCTTGAGGGAAAGCTGCACATGCTCAGTTTGGTTTGTATTGCTAGAGAGTTTTTTTTTTTATCTTGGGAGAGTGCATGTGATCAGCACAGGGCCAATCAGCGCTGTCCAGACAGAGGGTCAGGGGTTATGCAGCCTCATAGGACAATCAGAGGAGAAAGAAAACTAATCCTACAAGCTTTAACCAATGCTCTGCTGGACACTAATAGAAGTCACAAGACTGCTCTATACTGCTGATGGGAAAAGGTATTTGGCAGTTTGTATTTACTAAAATAATTGCATTTTCATGTTCTGTGTACTGTGGGAGACCGGATATAGTGAATGCAGGGTCCGGGGGAAGAGCGGATATCGTGAATGCGGGGTCCGGGGGGAAGAGCGGATATCGTGAATGCGGGGTCCGGGGGAAGAGCGGATATCGTGAATGCGGGGTCCGGGGGAAGAGCGGATATCGTGAATGCGGGGTCCGGGGGAAGAGCGGATATCGTGAATGCGGGGTCCGGGGGAAGAGCGGATATCGTGAATGCGGGGTCCGGGGGAAGAGCGGATATCGTGAATGCGGGGTCCGGGGAAGAGCGGATATCGTGAATGCGGGGTCCGGGGGAAGAGCGGATATAGTGAATGCGGGGTCCGGGGGAAGAGCGGATATAGTGAATGCGGGGTCCGGGGGAGAGCGGATATAGTGAATGCGGGGTCCGGGGGAAGAGCGGATATAGTGAATGCGGGGTCCGGGGGAAGAGCGGATATAGTGAATGCGGGGTCCGGGGGGAGAGCGTGAATAGTGAATGCGGGGTCCGGGGGAGAGCGGATATAGTGAATGCGGGGTCCGGGGGAGAGCGGATATAGTGAATGCGGGGTCCGGGGGGAGAGCGGATATAGTGAATATAGATATAGTGAATGCGGGGTCCGGGGGAGAGCGGATATAGTGAATGCGGGGGGTCCGGGGAGAGCGGATATAGTGAATGCGGGGTCCGGGGGAGAGCGGATATGTGCATGCGGGGTCCGGGGGAGAGCGGATATAGTGCATGCGGGGTCCGGGGGGAGAGCGGATATGCATGCGGGGTCCGGGGGAGAGCGGATATAGTGAATGCGGGGTCCGGGGGAGAGCGGATATAGTGAATGCGGGGTCCGGGGGGGAGAGCGGATATAGTGAATGCGGGGTCCGGGGGAGAGCGGATATAGTGAATGCGGGGTCCGGGGGAGAGCGGATATAGTGCATGCGGGGTCCGGGGGAGAGCGGATATAGTGCATGCGGGGTCCGGGGAGAGCGGATATAGTGCATGCGGGGTCTGGGGGAGAGCGGATATAGTGCATGCGGGGTCCGGGGAGAGTGGATATAGTGAATGCAGGGTCCGGGGAGAGTGGATATAGTGAATGCAGGGTCGGGGAGAGTGGATATAGTGAATGCAGGGTCCGGGGAGAGTGGATATAGTGAATGCAGGGTCCGGGGAGAGTGGATATAGTGAATGCAGGGTCGGGGAGAGTGGATATAGTGAATGCAGGGTCCGGGGAGAGTGGATATAGTGAATGCGGGGTCCTGGGTTTAGTATCACTTTCATTTAGGGTGAAGGTCGACTTTAACATAACTTCTTTAGCCAGCCAGAATCCAACCATTGCTGTAATATTGGATATAGGCTAAACTAAGAATGCTAAATGAAGCAACAAAACATGTTTTATTATATCTTACGTTTGTTTATTTGATGTATCTGGTCCTACTTCTATATTTGTGAGCGAGCTCTGTTTTTAGTTCTAGTGGTCTAGTACAGCCGGTCATCCTCCTTTTATAGCCCTCAAATACCTGCATTCATTTGTGGCAGATTTCTCTCTTTTTTTAAAACTGCTTAAGCAGGATTGGAAGAGAAGGAAATGTTCTTGTACACAATTGTGTTTTCTTTTTCAAACAACGAATGCCAGAAATGTGTTTTCCAAATGATTTTGCTGAGCACTGCCAGTGTTACTTTGCTTGTTTCCCTTCCAGTTGGTGGCACACAGTATGTGAATGGATTTTGTTTGTAATAATATTGTGTTTCATGTTTCGGTCCAGTTTTCAGTATGTACCAAGCCAACCTCTTATGTAGGGGTCTCCACATTTTCTAAACAAAGGTCCAGTTTACTGGTTTATAGACTTTTACGGGCCGAACTGTTGCCAGTGAGAACAGAAATTGCTCCATTGCCAGTTGGAGTAAACAAAGACTTAAACTTAGTGGTCACTGAGAGTAATAAATTACATAGTTCCTGAGGTCAGTAGGAGAAGGAATAGTGCTTATTGTGATTACTGGTATCAGTGGAGTGAATAGTACCCCACTGTTGGTGTCTGTGGAAGGAATAGTGCCCCATCTTTGGTGTCAGTGGATGGAATAGTGCCTCATCATTGGTGTTGGTGGAAGGAATAGCTCTCTGTTGTGTCAGTGGGAGGAATAGTGCACTATCATTAGTGTTAGTGGAAGGAATAGTGCCCCATGATTGGTGTTAGTGGGAGGAATAGTGCTCCAATCATTGGTGTAAGTAGAAAGAATAATGTCCCATCATTGGGTTTAGTGGAAGGAATAGTACCCTGCGGGTGTCAGTGGGAGGAATATTGCCCCATGGTTGGTGTCAGTGGGAGGTGCCCCATTGTTGGTGTCAGTGGGAGGAATAGTGCCCCATTGTTGGTGTCAGTGGGAGGAATAGTGCCCCATTGTTGGTGTCAGTTTGGATCATTTGGATCAATAGTGCCCCAATGATAGTAGCAGTGGGAACAATAGTGTTTTATCGATGGTAAAAATGGAGAGAAAGTGCTCCATCTTTGGTGTTAGTGGTAATAGGGTTCAACTGTTTATTGTAGTGGAATGAATTATACCCCAATGTTGGCATCATTGGAAGGAATGGTGCCTCATTTTTGGTGTCAGTGGGATGAATAGTGCCCCAAGGGTCGGATAAAGGCAAGCATAGGGTCACATGGGGTCTATGGGCTGCAGTTTGGGGACCACTACTGTAGTGCACAACTACAGATGTCATTTTGTCCCTTTTTTCTGACTTTGCCAGTTCATTTATTCACTTATATTTTTATTAGAAAATACAATACAGTGAAGTCAGTGCAGTGCCTGTCAGTTGGCGTTCACATAGGAGATGGCCAAATACATGGTTGACTAATAAACAACCTCTATAATATTTTAGCAGCATAAATAAAACATGGCAGCAAACAATATAAGAAGTAGCAGTAATATTCTGATATTTTACAGTCAACTTATATTTATTAAGAAATAGTCTTTGTATTCTCAGGTTATACTACAGCAAGAAAAGTCAACTGAAGGTCCTTGGTCTAGTGGGTGAGAGTCTAGAACCCAAGTCATAACAACATACCAAAAAAGGATTGTATCCCATGAACATTTTGGGAAATAAAAGATAGGAAGAATGGAGGAAGGAGAGTGTTTTTACCTGAGTAGGTAGAGGAAAGATAGAGAGAAAGAGAGAGGGAGGAGTGTAAAGGGACTGGAGAGAGCTGGATGATGACTAAGTATCCTTATAGCAACAGTCTTCAGGAACTCATGCACACTATAGCAAAACCAGTCCACGTATGATCGTTGGCCTAGTAGGCAAGAGTCCAAGTCTTGAGGATATATGAAACAAAATATCGTAGCCCATGAAGTATTGTATACCAAAAGTCAACTGAAGCTCTTTGGTCTAGTGGGCGAAAGTCTAGAACCCAAGTCTTTACAACATACCAAAAAAAAGTACTGTGGCCCATGATATTTGTGGGAAATAGAAGATAAGAAGAATGGAGAAAGGAGAATGTTTGTTTTTTACCCAAGTAGATTGAGGAAAGATAGAAAAAGATAGAGAGAAAGAGTGGAGGAGTGTAAAGGGACTGGAGAGAATGTACAATTACTGAGTATCCTTATAGCAATAGTCTTCAAGTTCTCATGTACGCGATAACAAAAACAGTCAACTGATGGCCATTGGCCTAGTAGGCAAGAGTCAAGAATCCAAGTCTTGAGAATATATGAAAAAAAGTATTGTAGACCAAAAGTCAACTGAAGGTTGCTGGTCTAGTAGGAGAAAGTCTAGAACCCAAGTCTTGACAACATACCAAAAAAAGGATTGTAGCCCATGATATTTTTGGGAAATAGAAGATAAGAAGAATGGAGAAAGGAGAGTGTTTTTACCCAAGTAGGTAGAGGAAAGATAGAAAGAGAGGAGGAGTGTAAAGGGACTGGAGAGAGCTGGACAATTACTGAGTATCCTTATAGCAATAGTCTTCAAGTTCTCATGTACGCGATAGCAAAAACAGTCAATTGATGGTCATTGGCCTAGTAGGCAAGAGTCAAGAATCCAAGTCTTGAGAATATATGAAAAAAAGTATTGTAGACCAAATGTCAGTATTGTATCCCATGAAAATTTGGGGAAATAAAAGATAGGAAGAATGGAGGAAGGAGAGTGTTTTTACCTGAGTAGGTAGAGGAAAGATAGAGAGAAAGAGAGAGGAAGGAGTGTAAAGGGACTGGAGAGAGCTGGACGATGACTAAGTATCCTTATAGAAACAGTCTTCAGGAACTCATGTACACTATAGCAAAACCAGTCCACTTATGGTCGTTGGCCTAGTAGGCAAGAGTCAAGAGTCCAAGTCCTGAGGATATATGAAACAAAATATTGTAGACCTTGAAGTATTGTAGACCAAAAGTCAATTGAAGGTCGTTGGTCTAGTGGGGCGAAAGTCTAGAACTCAAGTCTTTACAACATACCAAAAAAAAGTACTGTGGCCCATGATATTTGTGGGAAATAGATAAGAAGAATAAAGAAAGGAGAGTGTTTTTACCGAGTAGGTAGGGGACAGATAGAGAAAAAGAGAGAGGGAGGAGTGTAAAGGGACTGGAGAGAGCTGAATGTTGACTGAGTATCTTTATTGCAATAGTCTTCAAGATCTCATGCACACTAAAGCAAAAACAGTCAACTGATGGTCATTGACCTAGTAGACAAGGATTCAAGACTTGAGGATATATGAAAAACATTATTGTAGCCAATGGTATTTGTAGTGTTTATACCTGAGTGGGCAGCTTGAGTATTTAAATACAAATAATTGTCTAATATCTGTTGAATTAAACAGAAAAGCAGCTTCTCTGTGGTGCTGTCCCCCATTGGCTTACTATTTACAGCCGCTGGCTCAGTATCATCCAACCCATTTCCTGTGAGATCAACTGTCAACAACATGCCTCCTGGGGTCATGTCACCATGCAGCCTGGACTAAGAGTACTATGGGACTGAGGAACGCTCAATCTTCATTACTTGAACACTTCTCGGTCTAGAAGGAAAGAGCACCCACCACCTTCAAGGAGAAAACAGGAAGGGAAGTCTTCAGTCTGTCCTACAGTCTTCAGGACAATCCCTGGACTGGCCTGAAGAATGCAGGAAAAAAATATGTATATATTTTAATAGTTTAAAAATTCATGGGTTAAAACAGCTTCATGGCTGTGTGGATATGTAGGGAGGGAGAAGCTGGAGTTTTGCTTTAACCTTGTGCAGTCAGCATTGACAGAAAAAAAATGACAAATAAAGCATCTGTATTCCAGATCCTATAGACAATAATCATATTTTATGTAATTGCTTGGGAACCCCATGGATGGTGCCAAGAGTTCTGTCTGTTTTCAAAATCATATTCAGAATAAATGAGGCCGCTCTCAAACTTATCAATTCATGTATTTCACTGATAATGACTTACAGCAAACATTGAAATGGTAATGACACTCGGCAAGCGTTATTCATCATTAATAATTTGCACGCAGGGTTCAATTACGAATAAGTATTTGTAATCTTCACACCTCGGCGAACAATCCAAACACTGAAATGGCAATATTGTCTTTCCATAGCACAGGGACTCTGAAGGTTAACATGTGGAAGGAGAACTGTGAATTGTCTCTGATGGCTTCGTTTTCCAATGGGCTTCATAGGCCACTAAGCTGGAACGGATTATGATTCATCTGGTGCATAATTTCCAGATTTAACTATTGCTTATGATCAAAAACACAATAGGTTTGAACACATGTAAAACTACATTCTCTGTCTGGGACACTTAGGTGAGTATACAATCTATGGCTGGATGTTTGCAAGTAATCAGTGTAGTTGTTAATGTAAACCCTGATTAAATTTAGTTTTCTAAAGCACTGTACAATAAACAATTGCCTTTTTAACAATAAAATACTGTCTTAATACTAAAACATAAAAGCTGCAGTAATTACTTGCAATAGTGCCATTAAATGTGGTTTTGTAACTAGGTTGAAAAATTGGTTGATCACCTAAAAATGTTCCAATATAACTCTCTTTATTTGGTGAACAGATGTATCTATCGATGTTTTCAGGATCAGTGGAAGGCCTAACAGTCCTTATAAAATGTCTTTGTGGGGTGTTTTGTAGGCATCCCCATGCTACCTCTATAAAGCCAAACTCTCACAGCTGGGGCCCCTAAGTAAACAAGTCACCCTGGTAATGAATTATGGAACAGTTCCCAGTCCAGGTACTCAACTCCGACTGTCACGATCTGGGTCAGGTTCAGAGACCAGTTGCTAC